TCTTTGTGAGCTGTATCCCAGTTAGTACCTGGCCTATTTTTTTTTTTTTTTTATTCTTAGTCATATGGCCAAGTTCTCTTTTATTTTACAAGAATCCTTTTTTTCCCCAGTTTCAATAACTGGAGAGCTTCTGGTTGGCAAATCAGGTATCTGCATATACTTTCTAGCCTTTCTTTGTATTGGAATAATATGATCCGATGTCCTAATATAGCTTCTTTATAAGGAACAACCGATTTTCTTAGATTCCTTTTTCCCCTTAGATCCCCTCATGGGATCCTGTCCACCAGTTCTTTGCACTTGTTAGTCTTTTTCTAAAGGTCAGTATGCATTATTTTGCTTCCCTCCTTTCTTGTTTTAGGATTCTAAACTGTTAATTTAACTGAACTGTTTCAGTTAGTATCCTATAGGAAACTTGTCTGTGTAAAAGACAAACCTACTAACAAATAAGCCTTCTGCACTTTGTTTATCTTGGCAAAAAAACCAAATATTAAGTATTTATAGTTTGAACTTGCCTTCCACAGAAGGAGGTGGTCTCTCTAGATTGAAATATTGAGGTACTAGCCAGGTGCCTTGAGTACCTTGAAACTTGTACTTGATCTGTAATTGCCAACACTTATTAATTTTGACAGGCTTTAAAATACTTTTCTGTTAAGGTGGGGGGGAACAGCAAAACACTAAACTTCAATATTGGAGAAACATCCGTAATCCCAAGAAGCATCGCTGGAGCATTCCTTTACATATCTATAATTGCAGCACATGTAGATGCAAGCAATGTAGCTTTAATCCAGTTATTTTAGATGATAATAGAGAAGAAATACTTTGATATTTTGAGGTTAGGGAGATTATATATGTTTAATAGACTGAAACGTTGGAGTCCATGCTTTGTTATATGAAATATTGAAGAACTTGATTTATCTTAAAAGCACCAGTGCTAAGTTACTCACTCATCCACTGCTGCTTTTGGCTGCACATCAGCAACCCTCCAAAATATTTTCATGAATTTCCATTCTGACTCCTCCCAAATTGGAGCAGTACCTGTTGTCTTCACAGTGGAATTCTTTGATCTGGAAATTTGATCATGTTGAAAATGAAGACTTAAAAAATATTAGACATTATACAAAATACCCAGATGTGGATTTTGCTTTTTTTTTCCTCCCATTAGGAAACTCGTAGTGTATATCAGTTTCACTATGTGAACTGGCCTGACCATGATGTTCCTTCATCTTTTGATTCTATCCTGGACATGATCAGCTTAATGAGAGAGTACCAGGAGCATGAAGATGTACCCATCTGTATACACTGCAGGTATCAGTATATTTACTTGAACTATTAAAAGCTGTGTATTTGGTTTAAAAAAGTAATGTTTTGAATAAATTCTAAAAAACCTAATTTTTAAAAAGAATCTGTAGGATCTATGTTATCAGGTAAGGCATATACTTCAAAGTATGACCAGGGCCACTTGTACCCCCATAGTCTTAAAATGACAGTCCATGCCTTTCTTTTCTCTGCTTTAGGTGAAGAATAACGTAGTGAGGAAGCAATTTTTAAGTAGAGTTTAGTTGGGGGAAATAATTTTCCTGTTTTGCAAGAATCTCCAAGATTTCAAAATTAAAGATTTAAAAAAAAACCCACTATTGCATATTGGGTTGAAACAGACCTTTTGAAGTCACTAATGAGAAACCAGGCAAAATAGCCAGCCTGGTGGCTTTGACTCTCACTTTGCATGTGGTGGAATGGGTACATGGTTCAAGTACTTGTATTTCATTTTAAGGGCCTATCCTGTCATTTCTCCCACATCCCTGGTAAGTGCTTTACCAGCCAGCCTGTTCATTGTTTGGATTGTGTAAACATTTAGGGTGCTGGCCTGGCAGATGTGGCATTTATGGCACGATTGCTGTGTTAAGCACTCTAATAACTGTAACATGCTACATGTTCAGCCAGTTTAGGGCATGATAAAATAGCAAACTAGCCACAACGTTCGGTGTTCCACATATGACACAGATGTTTTTGTCTTTGATTTGTATTGCACTTTATACTGAACATGTGCCATGCATCCCAGACTGGGGGTTGCTCTGTGTCTCATCCTGCTGCTTATTTGAGTGCTAGGATGTGGCAGATCACCAGGATGGGTCAAAGGCAGCCCGTGCCTCTTGGATCTGGCTGACTCCTACTCATTCTTTGGAGGCAGCCCCACGTCCCTGTTGTTTTAAATAGACATTTGATGCATGCAGCTGGGAATATGGTTGGGGGGGGCCTGCATATGCATCTTGAAGGTGTCAGTCAGCCTGTGCAGCTGGGAACTGGTGGCCCAGTCCTCATGTGATGTGTGGCATGGCAGGACACAATTGTTGGGATTAGGCATGCATTTTTTCATTATCCCAGTCACGCACCTGTATTAACATGACAGTGGGCTTAGTTTTGACCAAAAAATCCATCTCAACCTGTGGAGCCTTCCTGCTGAGTTTTTTGCTGCAAATATTACATTCCCAGAATAAGTTTAAGTTTTGATAAATCAGTGTTTTCTGACTTGAAAAATCGTGGGTGCTTTTGTTTGATAAAATAGACTTCCCTAGGGACAGGAGGCTTGGAGGCTCAGTAAGCTCTATCATATCTAACTCCAGAGAAAAGGGAGTTGATTTTCTTAGTTTTGTTTCTGGTATGCTCAACAAGACCAAATCTATTTTTATATGAAAGAAGATACAAGTGTTAAAATGTATTATGTGCTAGTTTGCTACATCAATCAGTGTTTCCATGCAAATAAGGTATGACTGGCAGACTGTCATTGCAGTTATCCATATTACAAGGTTGTGGTTCCAAAGCAAAAATAAACTAATTTTATTAGATAAAGAGTGGTGCACAGCTTTAATTTGACATGGATTCTGTCAAGAGCATCAAACTTTGTTTTTACTGAAATGAGTGTTAAAATTACCATGTTTTCTTGCATACATCTCTTCCCCACAAAAAAAAAAAGCTGTTGGAAATTAGAATATGCATTATATGCAATAAATATGGCATGAGCAGGTTCATCTGCTTAGTGACTGAAACAAAGTAAAATCTTCATGCGCTTAGACAACAAAAAAAATGAGCAGTCTTGGCTCCCTGGCAGTTATTTACTACAAAGAAAGATCATGCTGTATGCAAGAAAGTATGGTATATTTGTGTGTGTGTGTGGGGGGGGGGGGGGGGGGGGT